ATGCACTGGGGCGGTTTGCAGCCGAGTGTGAAGCGGCTGGGATGAGAATCAGCACCTCCAAATCCGAGGCCATGGTTCTCAGTCGGTAAAGGGTGGCTTGTTCCCTTCAGGTTGGTGGAGAGTTCCTGCCTCAAGTGGAGGAGTTCAAGTATCTTGGGGTCTTGTTCACGAGTGAGGGAAGGATGGAACGGGAGATTGACAGGTGGATCGGTGAGGCTTCTGCAGTAATATGGTTGATGTACCGGTCTGTCGTGGTTAAGAAGGAGCTGAGCTGTAAGGCGAAGCTCTCAATTTACTGGTCGATATACGTTCCGACTCTCACCTATGGTCAGGAGCTTTGGGTCATGACCAAAAGGACAAGACTCCGGATACAGGCGGCCGAAATGAGCTTCCTCCGCAGGGTGGCCGGGCGCACGCTCAGAGATAGGGTGAGGAGCTCGGTCACCTGGGAGGAGCTCAGAGTAGAACCGCTGCTCCTCCACATCGAGAGGAGCCAGCTGAGGTGGCTCGGGCATCTGTTTCGGATGCCTCCTGAGCGCCTTCCTAGGGAGTGGGTCTCATCTCAGACAATGATGAGACTCACTACAGAGAGGAGATCCAGCACCTGACAAGGTGGTGTTCAGATAACAATCTTGTCCTGAACACCAACAAGACTAAGGAGGTCATTGTGGATTATAGGAGGTAGAGAATTGCCTAATGCTAGCAATTTTGTTAGTAAAATAATGACGAAAACCCTCACATATTTCAACAGATGCCTCAGGATTAGAGGTAAGGTTACATGGGCTAATGACAGAATTAATTGCAGCGAACAAAACCTGTGGTTTGCGACGATTACTGATCACAATGTTAGAGAGTTTGATTTTGCAGATTTGACCAACAAGCAGTCCCTGAAATGGCGAAGGGAAACATAAAGTTTATCCTTCTTCCATTTACATTCAGCTTTACTATATCTTCATCTATGTTCCCGAGTTAAGTCATTTAACCAAGGTTCCACCTTTGGCTTAGCCGGCTTACATCAGAGGGGAGCAATGGAATCCAGTATATCCTGACAGGTGGAGGTTAAAAGACTTAATACTTCCTCAGGATCCATGTAGGAGGATACATCCCCTATCAGATACAGACTAGAATTTGTAAAACAAGTAGAAAATTCTCCTGCTGTTGAAGAGGTGATTGTAG